AGGGGAATGAAAAAGCAAGCCTTTTTTTTTTTTTTTTTTTTTTTTTTTTGTCTTTCTCAAATTGGTGCAACTATGGTATGAATTTGTGCTTCATGTTAGGACTTGTTTAACAATCAAAGAACGTCTTTATGTAATGGTATTGGGTATAGGTTCATATATATATATATATATATATATATCTTTAGAAGTTTATGATCAAGTACTGATTAACACAAGCCTCATTTACATTTAGCAAGAGAGTATAATATATCATTACACCAAGTAGAGGAAGGATGACCGGTTGACAAATATCATTAGCTCCATCTCTTCTATATTTGCACGTTTTAGCAAAACTCATTAATTACCGCAAACCAAAACCACCAAGAAGAAAGCACAAAAGACTCGCAAATGATTTTTCTCCTAATCAAAATTTTATTGCCTATTTTCATCTCTCTTCTGTTAAGCTTTGACACATATTCAAGAGTAGAGCTATATATTTTATATATAGATATACTGTGTATAACTAGGATGATGGCTGCAATAACGTAGAAGAAGAGGCAAGTGGCTCGTGGACGACTGAGTTTGAGGAAACCGAGATGGGATTGCCTTCCAATTGCAACATGATACTCCCAAGGATTTCGGTCAATATCTTCTTGAACTCGTCGTCTTTAACCACCTTCCCGTCGTCGGCGTTCACCATTTTGAACACATCTCCAACAACCTTGTCCATCTGTCGAAATTCATGCACATGTTTAATTAGTACAGCAAATTAGCTGGAAACATAATGCTTAGGAATTAGCTGCTTAAGATGACTATGATCACCTCTTCAATTGCGCCAATCGGTGGTAGGCCCGCGGATGGGGCCAACAGGTCGAGTGCCACGCGCAAATGCTCCTTAGACATCTTCCCATTGCGATCTCTGGGCAGGTTTTCAAGAGCTACATTTAGTGTCTGCAAGATTCACAAGACAAATATTATGATGTCTCGCGTGTGGATTAAAGAGAAATTAAAGCTCGAAAAATTAGATCTAGATGAGGTGGGGGAATTGAGCAAAAGAGTGTCCCCAAATGAACCTTGTCTTGTTCAAACTTGTTGGCCAAAAGTCTCTTAATGCCACTTCCATCAAAGGTGTTCTCACTATGAGCAACAATCACAGGCCGCTCTTTAAGATGTTGAGCCACACTCTCTGCTGCTTTCTTGAACTCCACAAGAAATGTTTCTTGAGACACGGGTTTCTCCCGATCGTCGTGCCCGTCACCCGACAGAAGAGCGGGTTCCACAAAGTTGCTTATGACCTTGTGGAAAATAAAACACACGATCATGAAAACAACAGCAGTATCATGACACATCACAAAATCACAATATAACTTGTCAGGGGCAAAAACAAAAATTGTGACAAAACAACATTTTCAGTGTACCATTTGCTCTAACCTTATAAACAAGTTAAAAGTCCAACATAGAAGAAAACAATAAGAATGTACATTTTAGAATTTTCTGACTGGAGAGGAAAAGTTAAAAAGAGTTAAAAGATTCTACTACCCAAGAATCTGAAGATGGGGGCATTCCTTGTTCAACTGAGAGTTTTTCCAAAGCCTTGATTATGGAGTCCCGGAGGGATAATCCTTGATCAGCCGACTCTATCTCCGAAAATATGGAAATCATTTCTGGCTCGAAACTCGGACTGCTGATGAATTCTAGAAGGTCTTCGCCATCTATGCGAAGGATTACTATAGGATCTCGCTTCAATCCTGCAGCCATGCCTAGAAGAATATCTGAAAGAACCTCTTTGAACTCAGTCTTGCTCACTTTTTCTTGATTTCCATGGGTGAACTCACTCAATACCTATATGACAAGCGAAAATATATATATATATATATATATATTTATAACAATCAAAGAATGACTTCATTGTATGGTTGATGCATTTATGAAAAGCGCTTTAATTTGTTTTGTTTGATTTAAGTTTAATAATGTTGAGCAATAGGCCAGAACTGCTAATTATTGTGATGAGCAATATTCTTATTCAGTTCCTAATGTTGGTGCAAATTTTATAGGATTACTACTAATAAGTAGAGGCCCCTAATGCGACTAAAATGCCCTCAACGACAACACTCCAGATAAAATGGAAGGAAATGGAAAAAAACTACAAAGAAATCAGACATGTAAAATACCATATAACTTTTATCAATGCAATATCACAATTAATTCAATGACAATGTGGAACATTTGATCAACCTTTCAAATTCTTCATCCTTGATAAACAGCAAAGAGATATTAAACATTCATGATTAGGACTGTTGAAACCTTTCTTATAGGTCTTATAATTAAGTGAAATCTTATAATTAAGTGTAATTAGCTTGGAATTCAGAACATTTCTCAGAATTCAAACAAACATACTATTTTCATTCTCATTGCTTTTCTTGGTTTGGGGGAATGCGGGAGGAGTTTTGTTCTCAAGGGAGACTAATTAAAAGTAGGTGAAACAAATACGACTGTTCTATGGTAGTGATAATGCTATCGGAACTACATGTTTTTAAATGTCAAATCACATTAATATTATTACGGAATGAAAATAGTATGCAAATCTGACAGATAAATCTACAATGGCGGTAGGGTACCCTATCAAAGAATTCCCCAAATGGATTTTTACACTACAATTATGTCATAGTTAGTTCAGCCGCCATTAGATTAGGTACAAGAACCTTTATTTTTTATTTTTGCTAAATGATTATTTATTTATTAATTTACCCTCCAAAAGATAGTACCTACTTTTGGCTTGATGCCATTGGATCATTTGCAGGCACAACCAACCAACTCTAATAATAAAAAGTGATGCCAAATCATTGCTTGTGCGCACTAAATTTTGGTCATGTGTTATAATCATGGGGATTGAAAAAGAAACACAGAAGAAACTACGCAAGTTTCGTCGTCACTCTAGATTCCTCCTTGCATATAAAGGTGTATTGACGGAAAGAGAGAAAATGAGACAAAAAGTAGGAAAGGTCAGCAGAAAATAATAATAGTAATAAAAAAAGCAAAAATTTCCCACAGGACCGACCAAGTTGAATCATTCATACTTCATAAGTTAGGGCTTGGATATATTTCTGGAGCTTGGTAGCAAAGGAAATCTTGAATTTTACTTTTCGTGGACCCAACAAGGTAAGTACAACTTTATGATCTAAAATATTGGTATATTTAACCATATAATTAGCTTTAACCTACCCAAAAAATAAAATAATATAAGGGTCCGTTTAGTTCGCTGATTTGAGTTTTTAATTTGAGTTGAGATGTGACTTATGAGAGCTTTTTATTGTAGTAAAAAAATTAGATGTGACTGTTTCTGAGAACTTTTTATTATAACAAAACTCAAATTTTAAACTTAAATCAGTAAAATAAACTGGACCTAAGACTTCAGAACACAGACCTAGTAATTTTTTTAAAAAGGACAATAAAGCGGTCCAGATTATATTACAAAACACAAAACTATTAAAGGCTCCCAATTCAAACTCATACGTATACATCTTATCTTCTCCAAGCCTTTTGAGGTCAAGAAAGCACTTTCTTTAAAAATGTTTCGGCCGGTAATAAAAAAAAAAAAAAAAAAAAAAAAAAAAAAAAAAAAAAAAACTCTTTTGCAATATTCCAAAACTAGAAAATGAGTTCCCAAATGTTTCATCTCAAACTTATGAAGCAAAACCAATTACGTTGCAAATTCATAAACAAAACAAGGACCTAAGATTTAGGAGAATATAGATACAGACTAGGAGAAACATTTACATGCCACAACGAGAGAAAAAAAAAAAAAAAAAACTCAGAAATGAAAAAACTTGTCTACCCATTAATTGATACAAATTATTAATCATTTTTTCCCCTCGATGCACCAAAAAAACAACACGCTCATAAATGTAGACACAACAATTGTGTTTATCTTCCATTCATCGAAAAAAAAAAGAAAAGAAAAAGAAAAACTTGTGTTAACCTTCCAAGAATCACGATCTTGGCAAAGTAATTGCACATCCACACACATATATATATATATTATAGGGAGGCAAAAAAGAGCAAAACTTGAAGAAAGCTGTACTTCTTCTATAATAAAATTCTCATAAAGCCTCCTAATTTCTTTATATGTAACAAATTAAGAGGATGAAACCATGAAATTGAGGAAAAAAAAATAGAAATGAGTAATGAGAGAGAGAGAGAGAGAGAGAGAGAGAGAGAGAGAGAGAGAGAGAGAGAGAGAGAGAGAGAGAGAACCTCAGAGTAGATGTGATCAGAATCAGAAGAAGAGCCTTGGGCAGGCAAGCCGAGAGCAGCACCAATATCAGCAACAGCAGGCTGAAGCTCATTCACGGAGAGTTTGCCGTCGCAGTCCTTGTCCAACTCATGGAACTTATGCTCCACAAAATTACTGAACACCTCCTCGTTCCCAACTAACTCCATTATATTCGAACCGTCTAGAACCTGCCCGCTTTTCTTATTCTTTGGCGTGCCCGGTAGACTTGTTGTTGTCGTCGTACTACTACTAGTAGTCTCCATTCTCCGCTTCTTCTTCTGCTTCTCCAAACTCTCTCTCTGTCGATCAATAACTATTAACTAATCTTTGTCTTGTGAGTCTTGTGAGTGAGCCCCAAAGTCTCTCTTGCCTTTTTTATTATTTTTTTTTGTCTTTGCGAGCCTCGTGAGTCACACGAGTAACGAGTTATAAAGTCAAGAGAGAGAGAGAGAGAGAGAGAGATTTTTCTTTCTTTCTTTCTTTCTGTGATTCTCTGTGGACGGGTTGCGGTTTTCTTTCGTGGCGCTTAGATATAAAAGAAGTGGGGGAAGAGGAAGACCGAGGAAATCTCTGTTTGCTTTTAGAGCTATTTATTAAAATAATAAAGGAAAATAGTAAAAAATATGTCAGTATAAAAATTAAAAAAGGTATATAAGTTAATTTTTTAGTTATAAAAATTAATATATCATAATTTGTCAAGTTATAATTTATAGTTAGATAAGTTATGGATAATTATAAATAATAACTTGTCAAGTTATGGTTCATAATCAGATAAGTTATAGATAAAAACAGTAATTTAACCTATTTATTAACTTATGTAAATTATTAGCCTATTAATTTTAATTCATCTTAAATTTTGATATATTTTTCTTTTTTCTTCTAATAATAAAATATGAAATTGCGGAAATGTGAGGCCTTTTTTCTGTTTTTTTTTCCTTCTTCTCTTCTGTGTTAATATATTAATAGGTTAAATTTTTTATTTATTAAATTTATATGAAATTATGTAAAAATTAAATAATACATAAATTTAACAATTAAAACGGTACGTGTTTAGTACCCAAAATTTTTTTTTTTTTTTTTTTTTTGCTAGAACAATGTAAAGCATGTTTGTTTGGGAACTCTAATAGTGCCGACAAAAAAAAAAAATCTGAAGTTGTGTCAGAAATACAAGTTGAAAAAAATTCAAACGTCGAAATTATATAAGTTATAATAGACTCATAAATTTTGAAAGAAATATAACGTTTTGTAGACCGGTATAGATACTGTAAGGACACTATAGAATAACTCTGTTTGCTTACTTTTGCAACAAGCCAGCCCTAAAATAGAACTGGACTAATAGACTAGTAATAAAAGATGAGTAGCAAATGTGCAAAGTAATAGGAGCACTAATGTTAGATACTTCTTCTTTAGTGGATTTGGAAGTAATAAATTTGATAATAAGGAATTCTTATTAGGCTAAAATTTAGGGGATTTTTTTTTATTTCAGACTATTAAATCTGATCAAAATATATTAAATTAAAAAAATATGCAGAATAAATAATTTTTAATAAAAATTTAACGGCCGAAAGTGAGAAGCTATTATTGATAGTTTTGTTTTTTTTTTTTTTTGTCCTACTTAAAAATTTTTCCTAAATTTATACGTAGTTGGTTAGAGTTATTGGTTGCAAGGATTATTAATAGTAAGATGTAATTGGGGATGAATGTTTTTAATGCAAGTTTTAAACATTATCTTGTGAGTGACTTAAAAGTTAAAGCTTTACACATGTGATTACTAACTTTTTATACTTTTTTGGAAAAGAAATAAATAAAACGAACAGGCATTTTGAGGACAGGTTATTGTTTGGGCGGAAAATCCTTTAAAAGTAAAGCTTGTTTGTTTTAAACCATGTTATGAACTTCCTCAAAAAAGAAAGAACATCCAATTTTACACAAAAACAAAAGCGTTTCACAAAAAAAAAACGGAAAATTGGAAACAAACACGGCCTAAACAGAGACTCCACTGATCATGTGTGTGGACCGGACACGTGGGGCGGTTAGAGAGGCCCAAAAGGCCAAAAGAACGAGCAAAAAGCTTAGCTGAAATGTGGGGACCACCACAGTAAATTTACTCTTTTACGGTGGTCGGCAAAAGTGCCACGTGGGACCATCCAAACTAGTATGCGGAGAGTGCGTATTTGGCACGCAGTTTTGCTACGTGGCGCTCGTAGAATAAATCAGGTGGCGCACGTATCTTCAGCTCTTCGAGCAAAACAAAGAAACGGGTTCCGTTCTCGTTGATTCGAGTTTAGAATTCAAGTTTTTCTATAGTAAAAAATTTTTATAAATAATTACATTTAATTTTTTTACTACAGTAAAAAGTTCTCATATAAAGTTACATTTTAACTCGAATTCTAAACTCGAATCAACGAAGTGAACGAGACTTCAATTCGTTCAGTTCGCTGATCTAAATTTTTAATTTAAATTAAAATATAATTTTATATGAAAATTTTTTATTATAATAAAAAAATTAAATGTGATTAATTTTAAAATTTTTTTACTATAATAAAATTTAAATTAAAAAAATAAACGGAGTCATAAAAAGAAAAGATGATCAGTCATTTATTGTCGTTTGTCGGTTTCACGTGGTCTTTATAAATTGTGATCTAATCTTCCCGTGCTTTCGCTTTTTAATTAAATCCGACCGTCCTAATCCATTAACTACATCTAAATGAAGCATTTGACTTTCCGACCCAAATCTACGAAAAAGGACTAAAACGAAGCAGAGGCAAAAAGTCATTGCTCTCATAAAAAAAAAAAAAAGTATTGCTTCGACTTTGGACTGATAGACGACATCAATTCCTTATAAATTCGTTTATTTGATTGATTTAAATTTTTAATTTTAATTTTATTATAATTAAAAAAAATTTATAAAAAATTATATTTAATTTTTTTTGTTACATTAAAAAAATCTCACATAAAATTACATCTCTACTCAAATTAAAAATTCAAATCAACGAAAATAAAACCTAATTATTTGCAAATTTGGGCATAAAAATTGAAAAAAAAAAAAACAAGGAGAAATCTAACATAATCTTGATGTCAGTGACACGTCAATCACTTACATGTCATTTTATCCGGCAGTTGACTATAGCGGAGATAGATATGTGTACATTATATAGACATAATTAGAGTTTTTTTTTTAAGGGATTGTGATGGACTAATCCAGACGACCAAAACCAAACCCTAAATAAAGGAGGCATTGTAAAACCCAAAATTTATTTGGGGTTAATTTAAAATTTTTAAAGACTTAAGTGTGAAAATTTTAGAAATCTGGGCTAGAATTTGAATTTAAGAGAAATATGGGGGTCAAAATGAAAATTTTGATAGTCAGCATGCCCAACCTGTCATTTAGTGCCACTTGGGCGTGTTCCTCATCCTCACAAATCAGAAAACCCTCACTTTCCCTCTCTCTCTTCATTCTCTTTGTCTCTCTCTCTCTCTCTCTCTTTCTCCACGTACGGCCGACCAACCTCCGGCGAGATTCCGGCGTCCGTTTTTGACACCTCCCAGCTCGTTGGAAAGATCTCGTCGAGTTGAGTCCGGATTGGTGTCTTCCAGCCGCCAACTCCGCCGGATGACGCCACACTCGCCGGCCAAAGTTTCGAAAAACACCCAAACTTCCGATCGTGATATCTTCGCCGTCCAGTGTCCGATTGAGGTGATTCCGGTCCCAATAGACTCAGAGCGAAGAGACGAAGAAAACCGTACCAGCAGTACGGCTTGATTCTGACTGGAGCGCCACCGCCCGTGGTGGTCAGATTTCTCGCCGCCGCCGCCCTCGCACCTCCCTCCTCCGGCTGCCGTGAACGACACCGCCCAGTTCATTAGCTTTAGAGGGAGCCGACGAGTGGTCACCGCCGTTGGCTTGCCGGAAAACGAACCGCCGCCGCTGTGAGAAAAATGGGAGGATGGTTCCGGTGATCTAGCCGTTGGATCATCGTGATCTTGGTGTCAAAATACTCAGAATCTCACGAGTAATGAAAGCCCTCAATCAATTTTGAAGATCCGTGGCTGAAAAACAAAGATTCAAGACTCGAAATTTGGCCGGAATTGAGGATCTCGATCCGAGTTATTAGAGGCCGAATTTGGTAAAATTGACATCGCCATTGGATTTAGAAGTATTGATTTATGGGGGGGTAGGACCCAAGTCCGCCGCGGGATTCTTCACCGGGAAGCTCCGCCGCCGCTACCACCACCGCCGGTGGCCGGATTCCGGGGAAGCCTCGTTTCTCAGCTTCTCGACTTCCGATTGACGATCCGTTTTGAGGTAGGGGTCCTATTACTTAACTTTTGTGGAATTTAATTTAATTTAATTTATTTTGTTAAATTTGAGAAGATTGAAATTGTATACCAAACTTATTTATTACTGTTATACGACGTGACTTGAAAGAGAACCATTAGGGGGCCCGTCCTGTAATGTACAGCGTGGCCAAGAGATTTTGACATAATTTTAGAACCTGACACAAAAGCATGGTTAGGAGAATGTAAACCGGACACGATAGTGAGATAGTGTGCTAACAGTAGGTGTGGCCGTTCACCATCCCTGGGTGTGAACCCGAAAAGGTAAAAGAGGGGAGAGGTGATGACACTCTCCGGGGTTGAGAATCCCCAAAGTTACTGTACAGTGGTTGCGTCTTGGTGAGGGCTCGGAACGACAGTTCACCCTTGCCTGTGTTTCGAGAACTGATCTGGTAGGGACGCCGAGATAGAGCTCCTTGCTATCAGTGCCTCTGAATCCCCGCGCCCTTCGGGGGGTTTTTCGTCACGAGCGTACGGATTAGGTTATCTCACTGATACTGATCATCTGACTCATTATACATAAAACATAAAAACTACTAACCATGCAGGTTTAATTGGAAAACTGAATAAAACTAAAGGTGAGTAATAGTCCTCCTACTGAGCATTTCATGCCCACCCCCTTTCTCTTCCCATCCCCAGGTGGTGTGCAGTGTAATCTTTCAGACGAGGAGTAGACGTCTCACAGTGTGCACGTGTTGGAGACCTATCCCTTCTTTTGGTCTTCTTCGTTTATGTAAGATTCTGACTGGGTTGTTTTCAACATGGATGTGACTGATGATGGTTGTATTATTTTAGTATTTTACTTGGTGCTACATTGTACTGTGGATTTCTGGTTTAATTTTCTTTGTCGAGTTGTGATTTTAATCATGAGTTTTTCGTTAAAAGTCCCATGGGCACTTGTCGTTTATATTTCAGGAGTTATATTTTATTTTCATTTTCGTTTATCCCTCGTATTTTATTCTTATTGCGTAACCCCCACCTAGGGGTGTTACAGGCATAAACAACACGACATAGAGAGATCTCTAGACGGAAATAACTACTCACACCATCAAAAATCAATTCGATCGGATAAGACCCACAAACTAAACCGGAAGATGGGAAAACAATCCGTTATTTCAAAACAACACTAAAAAAAATGGCAAAAATGGCGTCGTCACTCCTTATTATAATAAACTAAAGCACACACCAAAGCAAAAAAGAAAACCCAAAACAACATTGGCACAAGCCTCTGACGACGGTGCATCCAGTGAGAGGACCACGAGAGAAGGAAGAAGGTTTTGAAAGATAAACAATATAACTGGATAGAGATTGTTAAACGACAACGAATGATTCACACTCGTCACCGTGGCCATCCTCCAGACACGACACCACCCCTGCCAGAGGAAGTTGCTTGTCTATCAAAGCCTTATATTAATTGTTATATTACTATTATGTTTAATTTCATTATTTATAAATATTTTTCAGGAGTAAAATAACTCAAACAACATGTCTTGCCACTTAAACAATAAAAGCTATGTCCTACCACTTCGAGTATTCTGTACGCTATTATTGAATTTCTCATAAAAATCAATTTTCAATTTCTTTCACTCTTAAAAATGAATAATGTTGACGGTCAAATTTCGTCAACAGAAATACGCCGGATCACCCTCTGGTATCCCGTGGGGTTACCGGCTAGAAATTAGTTGTATATTCAAAATTATGCTATGAAGTGTTTGTTATATTTTTAGAAGCATGAGAATAATGCTTGAATAAGAGGACACCCGAAATTTATAGTGGTTCACTCTGTTAATGAATAGCTACATCCACTTGTGTATTGTATTTCCTTTGGGCTTTTTTTGGATTACATAGAATCAGCTCTCTTTTCTCTGATTACATATGAAAAATAGCCAAAAATCCTTTCCTCTTTCATTCAGGGCCTTGCCCCTTTTATAGCATAGAGATTACTTCATGGGTGGTTTTTCTTGGTAGGCTCATCCACTTGAGTGGCCTACTAGCCTATGAGCCCAGACCCATAGCCTGTCACCACCTTTTTCACTGTTCACTCATCCAATTTGTCCCTTATTGCGGCTATGCACATCCCCCTTTAATCATCCACCGTCCATTAAAGGGTGGTTTATGGGCTTGTAATTAATGCCTGCATTACTGACATTCTTCAAACCCAGACGTAACTTCTTTGTCCACTCAGGGGCCTTTCTGGAGATGTGGATGCATGTTTATACAATCGGCTTCCTATGAGGCCTCTCCTCCTTGGAAGGGTCAGCCGTCTAGAGGCCTCTCCTCTTTGGAAGGGTCAGTCGTCTGGAGGCCTCTCCTCCTTGGAAGGGTCGGCCGTCTGAATGCCTCTCTTCCTTAGAGGGGTCGGCCTCATGGATGCCCCTTGGGGTTCTTGGCAGGTTTAAGAACCTTCTTCATGGAGGCCATTCCTCCTTGGAGGGGGCGGCCTCATGGATGCCCCTTGGGGCTCTTGGCAGGTTTAAGAACCTTCTTCATGGAGACATCTCCTCCTTGGAGGGGGCGGCCGTCTGGAGGCCCCTCCTCCTTGGTGGGGTCGGCCGTCTGAAGGCCTCTCCTCCTTGGAAGGGTCGGCTATCTGGATGCCTCTCCTCCTTGGAAGGGTCGGCCGTCTCTGACGTGACAGCGCATATTTTCCCACACAACAAATAATTTCCATGAAAATGACAATCCTCAATACCCATACCGTCCATTTAGAAGAAACCATTTTTATGGATAAACTAATTGGCCATCAGCATAACATACGAACTAAGACCAACTTAGGTCACAATCGTTGTCTCGATTGAAATTATTTATGCAATCTATTATAGAAATAGTTCAAGGTTACAAAATTTTGGCTCAAGAACTTAGCAAATGGGCCCTAAAGCCCAACAAGATAATGTATTGGCTCAATATTATCACTAAACAGCGGTAGCCCATTACAAGGTATTTTCCACTAGGAGGTATTTCCTGCGGACGAGAACATCCTTTTCCACTTACCAGGCATCACATGAATAGCTTCCTTGTCAACTGATATACGTTCCGAAGCGTTTGACTTTATTATATCTTCATTTTCCACGTAAGTATCTGCTTCCTCTGATATTGGTTCCAATTCAGTGTCACATGTTAACAATTCCTCACAAGCTTCTTTATTACGGCCAGGAACAACCAATTTATTTCCCTTGTCACTCTGGTTTCGGCACAAACAAAACCAAATGAAAGACATATTGGGTAATTCGGCAAGGAAAAAAAAAAAAAAAAAGACAAATTGGGTATTGCTCCTCTTACGAGAATTTAAATCTATCGTGTTTAATTTCTGATGTCTCAAATATGTCACGCCATTAATAAAAATAAGTTAAAACAATATTTTAAATTTTTTTAAAATAACGTGAAATATATAGATACCAAAATCATAACGAAAAATTTGAGTCTTTATAGTACTATTATAAATTTCAGTTTGAATAAAAATAATTTATGTGCATTACTCAATTGGTACCTGATGAGGATAATGGGGCTGAGATGTTATTGCAGATTCAGGAGAAGAAACACCCTGCAAAATTTCCAAGAATCTGGCTTGGCCAATACTCAGAGCCTTTTTCCAATTGATGATGACAAAATTTCCGGCCTTAGTTCTCAGTTCCCATATGCGTCTATCAATTTCCGCTTCGTGCCTAGCCATAAGAGGTTGGAAGAAGCAATTATAAATGTATTTTGTTCCCTGTGAAGTTCAAGACAGAAATATAGTTAGAATAATTATCTTTAATTAGTACGTGTTAAAGCACTAATCTTTATTAAAAGACAAGGATTGTTGAACGCGCGTACTTTCATTTTAGAAGACCAAAGATATATGAACAGTGCCAACTTCGCTTCACTGTACAACGGTAACCTTAATGAAGGACAATAATCACATTATCAGCAGAATTAAAAAAGAGTGGCATTACATAACCAAAAAAAAGACAAAAAATCAATTAAAAAAAAAAAAAAATCAAAACCCAAATGGCATACCATGAGAAGAAAAAATCTCCGATTCTCTCTGAGACGGTAAGCATTGCAACTAAAATCCTGCAAGAACAAAATGGAACCCATTTCAGTACTAAATATAAAATATGTGTTTGTTATCAAAGAAAAAGAAATAAGATGAATTAATCTGTGCATTACCAGTAGTGACACCAAGATAGAAGTTGGTCATGAACCTCTGGATTGTTCTTCTCGACAATCTTGTAGCACTCATAAGCCGGATAAGCGTAGCCAAAAACCATTCTGTGCGTCCATGAAAAGCAAGTTCTAACATATCAGCTTCAAAAGCCTCCATATTTGGACTAATACATAAAAGGAAACAAAGTACCTAATGACAATATTAATCAGTAAATATACGAATACGTACAGAAGGGCTCTTGATAGAAAAGATCCCAACATTTTTGTGTCCCTAACGAGAGTGACAGAAGATCGTATTGAATCTGAGAAAAGCAAGAATCTAGAAGCAATGTCGTATATTGAAAGAGAGACTGGAGAGATTGAGGAGTGATATCAGAAAACACATATATTTTGGGAAAACGGCTTTCAATTCAAATATAGAGCCGCAAAACCGCATTCGTCGAAAGGCACCTGTTCGGTTGTGATGCATCGTACCGAAACGCTGCGAATTGTCCTTTTCCCTCTTTTTTTTTTTTTTTTTTTTTCGAAGAGATATCCCCAGATTTTATGTTCTGGTTATTGGAAGCGACATCTAAAATTGCGTCGTTTTATTTGGGTTAACCAACCCGGAAAAAGGTGGCCCTTTAAAATACAAATGGAAAACTTGGTTATATGCTGGGGAACGACCGTACGACAAAAGCGATAACTTATTAAACATAAAACGACCCCTAAATAGAAAACGACATTGAACTTGAAAACTGAAAGGTAGGCAAGGTTTGGACCATCAGCATAGTCTACGAAAAAATTTGGCCAATATATCAGCAAATATAATGTGGAAACTCAATTCCTAAAAAGAAGCGGAATAGTGGAGAGACAGAGATAATACCGTGAAAGAAAGTGAAAACTCGTTTTCAAATAAAAAACGACATTGACTATGAAAACGACATGAAAAATAAGAAAACGACGTTGACTTGAAAACTGGACAAAAATATTTAAAACACAGAAAAGTTGTAAAAACAACAGTCAACAGTAAAACGACACCAAACTTGCACATCAATCAAGTGAATCACCAGATGGTTAAAACGTCACGGCGTTAACAAATCAACAGACGACATTAAACATACCGTTGTGAGGTGTTTCGAGCAAACGACGTACTTATCAGTATTGCGTTATTAGACCAAATTACGAACGGCAGAAAATGACGTCGTTTCAACGTGGCGGGTAGCAGCGCATGGGATGAGAATTGTGGCTCAACTCATTGAAAACAACCGGCAGAAAAGTGGCAGCCATCAGCCAAACGGAAATTGGGAAACGGACAAAACACCAACATTGAAAGTCGAAAAGCGATTGGAAATGATGCCACGTAAGCAACATTATGGATGAGCGTAACGAAAACCATACAACCAAACAAAAAAAAAAAACCAATTAAAATGAAAGAACGTTGCTTCGCTCCTCTATTCAGTCATCACTCTCTCCTCCTCTCCTCCTCTGCTTCTTTCGTCTCCTATCCTCAACTCTTCAAAGCCTCAAACCCAAAACCACCACTCTCTCTCTCTCTCTCTCTCTCTCTCTCTCTCTCTCTCTCCTGCTTCCATGGACGTTCGCTTTTCTGCGAAGCCTCAAATTCTGACGCTCATCTCGTGCACGCCGCTCTCCTCCTCCTCCTCCGCTTCGCCGTCGCGTTCCAGTCTCCGATCAATCCGAAGAGAATTTCTCGGCTGCGGCCACAATCTCCGGCCTCCAGGCTCGCTTCGCTCTCGCGGAAGACAGAGGAAGCCGTGGTCTCACTCTCGCTCCTCGCGCTTCCTCTTCAGAGCTTCTCTCGGTTCGCATCCGGTCCTCGTCGTAGTCGCCGTCGTCACCGTCTCCGCTGCTTCTGTCGTCTACTGGAATTTCTTCAAGTCGAAGAAGAATGCCAGAGAGGTTCAAATTTAGCTTTAGTTTGGACTTTTGTTAAAAGATTCTACAGTAAAAAGCTTACTACTTCAATTTAGCGACTTAATAATTAATATTCCCTTTAAAGACCAGTACTGTTATCTTAGACTGTTTAAAATGGAAAGGGTTGTAATTGACAAATTAATTTGGAAAAAAATTTCGGTCAAAATATTCTGCATTCAAATACATATATAGAAAATTTTGTAGTTCAGCATTCAGCTCTATTCACAGAAATTTTATGATTCAGCATTCGACTCTAAAGTAGAAATTTTTAAAGATTTTTTGTAGCCTTTGTTCATATATATGAGTTCATGTAATTATGTTTCCAAATTTCTAATTTTATAAGAAAATTAGGTGCCTGGACCTGCAAATTTTGCGTTACCTCAAATGGGAGGGAATGTTATGAACCATGTCATCCAGAGTCAGATGCTTGATTTCGGAGATGTTCGCGAAATGGAAGTACAGCAATTGTTGAAGGATGAGAACAGAGAGAATAGCCACGCTTCCGTCGAGAAACAGGCTCCACTGCAGTTTCACAATGCTACAGTGATGAACCAAGAGACTCTTGTCACCAGCGCATTACAGTCATCTGGTTCTGGTGTGCTCGTTTCCGGTGCCAGTAATTCGACATTTCTAAACGAGTCTAGTGTTTTGGACCAGTCTCTTTCGCCTCTGCTTTCTGAATCAGCTATATTGGAACCTCTGAATTTACCGGAAAGTTTGAACGGATTTCAACTGGACAAGTTGCGAGAGGAAATTGAGTCCAGCGAATCTCTGTTTGGCAGCGCTTCTGTTCAAGACAACGGTTCGGTCCATTTGCAAGAGGAAATCGTGTCTAAATTCAAGGTGAATGGTCATTCAGTTGCCGAATTGCATGAAGATGAAACGGATAAGAGACGGCTTGGTGAAGAAGGAGAAATGACAAGCTATAATTTCTTGCTTGGTGAATCGGTAAGAAAAGAACTTCACATGTTTTATGACGAAAACAAGTCAGACGAGAAAGGTATAGGAAAAATCAATGGTCATAACTCATTATCTCCCAATGCCTCTGCTCCGAATAGCAAGACGGTTTCTGCATCATTGAGGGACACCATTGTGAAAGGCGGAGAAGCAACCGCCCTGTTTCCACCCCTTAAAGCAGGTAATGCCACGGAACCAAAGTACTTGATCTCATTTTTTTTATGGTGTTGTCAAGAGTAAGAAGGAAAAGAGGGCGAAAAAAAAGACGAAGAAAAGAGAAGAAGGATACTTTTTCCTCGCTTTGCTGTGTTTCACTGTTGGCAGTTTCATACTTTTTTAGTTTTCCCATTATGCTGATTTTATATGAAGAACGTTTGTTTATTCAGATAATCATGAATCAAAAATACCTTTTTCAAGTCATAAAGAAGGCACTCTTCGTAGTGGAAAAAACTCAGGACAGGGCAGAGGATATTCAAGAGACCTAATAAAAGGAAATTTGGCTCAGAATAACCATAAAGCTCCAGCCAAGTTGACCCGCCTAAATGGACTGGACGTTGAGCAGAAACATCATCCTTCAGAGCAAATAAGCACTTACAATCGTTTGGTAAAGGATGGCAGGTATCTTGCTATGGTTAGATGCTTGTTGGTAGTTCTTGAGAAATTTCATGGTTGCAGTACAGCGTATAGCTGACAAATTTTAAATCACACGTTTGATTTAAAATGAACTACATTCTCTGGTGCCTTATCGGTCGAGTATTGCTGTCGAGCATTTTTGTTTAAAGAATGTTTTTACAGCTTAGAGCTTAAAATTGATTGACATGGGTGTATTAGGTTATCTGATGCTGTAGAATTGCTTGAAGACATGGAAAGAAGGGGTTTGTTGGACATGAATAAGGTGAGTGTCTCTTTTTAATTGTTAAAGCTCTGTTTTCTGTTTTCTGTCTTCTTTTTTTTTTTGGCTGGAATTTTTTTTTTTTTTGATACGACACGGGATCGAACCCACAACCTTCCCCTATGGCTGGAATTTTTTTTTTTTTTTTGATACGACACGGGATCGAACCCACAACCTTCCCCTAAAGCCCACCCCACCCGAACCCCCTGTGCCACTAGACCAAGCGGTCTTAGGCAGCTGGAATGTTAAAGCTCTGTTACTTTCTATAGAGTTTCCCTTATCTAATTAGATTCTGTGCTTTCAGGTTTATCATGCAAAGTTCTTTAAAATCTGCAAATTTCAGAAGGCTGTAAATGAAGCTTTTCGTTACGTGAACTTGATTCCTTATCCGACATTGAGTACATATAACATGCTTATGTCTGTCTGTACGAGTTCCCAAGATCCAGAGGGTACTTGCATTTGACAGTTTTGTTGATTGATAACTGAATTCCCTCTCACAATTTTTGTTCCCATTCTAAGTTATATACATCTTAATGATTTCTGTATGGTGCTATTTAGGAGCCTTCAAGGTTATGCAACTCGTCCAGGAGGCTGGATTGAAAGCTGACTGCAAACTTTACACTACTCTGATATCAACTTGTGCTAAGAGTGGCAAAGTGGATTCAATGTTTGAAGTATGGTATCTTCTTTGGGGATTCTGATTTAAATCTTGGTTTTTACATTCTTCTGGGCAGTTTTGTGAAATAAATCCGAATAATTTTCGGATACTATTCTTATCCTGTTCATGTTGATCACCATCAGGTGTAATGATGCTTAACACCATCTTGATATAGACTTGTCTAATATCTGAGCCGCCAGATGGTTATTTGTCATATTGTATTATATTATTTGTTTGAATAGAACATTCGATTTATGTTATGTGAAGAGGGGGGAGGGGGGTTGAGGTTGTGTTATGTTGGTCAGTTCCCATGTTAATTGCACTGCACAATTTCTTAGGTGTTTCATAAGATGGTTAATGATGGAGTGGAACCAAATGTTCACACATACGGGTCACTTATCGATGGTTGTGCTAGAGCTGGTCAAGTAGCAAAGGCTTTTGGTGCTTATGGTATAATGAGGTCTAAGGTATGTTTCTTTCAGGGCATCTAAAAACTTCTTTCGCCCACTAGCGACATTATTCCGCCAAGTTCTTTCTGTAACTTAATATCAATGTTTGGGGATAAATGTGGTTGGTTGTTTTATTCTTCATAATGATTTCAAATTAAGTGTTCATGCTGATAACATGCAGTAGAACGTGAAGCCAGATCGAGTTGTATTCAATGCGCTCATTACTGCATGTGGTCAATCAGGAGCAGTTGATCGCGCTTTTGATGTGCTAGCAGAAATGACAGCAGAGCCAGAGCTGATAGACCCTGATCATATCACTGTTGGTGCATTGATGAAGGCATGTGCGAATTCTGGCCAGGTAAGTTTGCCTCTTTATTCCAAGGGGATTATTTACCCTTCATATTTCTTCATAATGTTTATTCAAATTCCGCTTTACTAAATACTGCATCATTAATAGGTTGATCGGGCTCGAGAAGTATATAAGATGGTGCATCAATATAACCTAAAGGGAACCCCGGAGGTCTACACCATTGCTGTTAATACTAGCAGCCACATGGGTGATTGGGAGTTTGCGCGTAATGTGTATGATGACATGACTAGGAAAGGAGTGCTCCCTGATGAGGTAATTTTATGAGAGCTAGATCCTTCCAGGGACACATTTAGATGTGCAATAGACTTTACATGGAGATGTTAAAAAACCTTGTAATTTAGACAAAGTTTAGTGCTCGTGAAAATTAGTTTGTCAAAACTGATTTGTCTTTCTAGGCAGGATACCAATGTTCATTTCGTTCATTCATGTCAACTTTGAATTCATCTGTTTTTCTTTTAGGATGCATCGATTTCTCATTTAGGTTTTTGGCTTTCGTGCAGATGTTTCTCAGTGCATTAATAGATGCTGCAGGGCATGCTGGAAAACTAGATGCCGCCTTTGAAATCCTATCTGAAGCCAAGAATCGAGGTGTAAAATTCGGAACTGTATCCTATAGCTCATTGATGGGAGCCTGCAGCAATGTACGTCTTTTGTGCAGTCATATTATAGACTTGTTTTAGTTAGGCTTGGACCATTCCTTGTAAGAGGCTTAAAAGGGAAGTTCTATTATGCTGCCGGAGCTGCTGCGCTAATGAAGAAATTGCCTATTCCTTGTTACAGGCCAAAAACTGGCAGAAAGCACTGGAGCTATATGAGGATCTCAAGTCAACTAAGTCGGAGCAAACTGTTTCCACTGTCAATGCTTTGATTACTGCTTTGTGTAAGTTACAATGGTGGCTTTCTGTTTTCCCTCTTCTTGGGAAAAGAGCTGTTGCTCTCTTCAAGCGATATTCATATATGTTTTTTGAATTTTTAGGAAACTTATTTTCCTTTTATTAGAAGTTGTAAATTTTGCACATTTATTCCTGAAACATGATTTCTTAAAACTCCTTCAATGTGACATACAATTAAACTTCACTACAGGTGATGGTGATCAACTACAGAAGGCTATGGAAGTTCTATCAGAAATGAAGGCATTAGGATTGTCTCCAAATAGCATAACTTACTCCATTCTACTAGTAGCTAGTGAAAAGTGAGTTATTTAGATCGGTATATAAGTTATTTCTTAACAAATGTCTGTCTTGACGAACTCAAAAATCTCACTGTTGTCGTGTGTGCACCTTGTAACGTGTAGAAAGGATGATCTAGAAGTAGGCCTCGTGCTCTTTTCTCAAGCCAAAAAGGATGGTATTTCCCCAAATCTTCTTATGTCTAGATGCATACTCGGTAAGTTTTAACATTATTTTATCTCCATTGTTTTTATCATTTGGTTTTACATTGTACTTTCAGACATTAATCAAAATATGTTCTTTTTTGAATTCTTCTATTGAAACATCTTCAGTTGCTATTGTATTGTGTTTTCTTCTGTGAAGTTTACTTATACTTTTATATATGATCATAAGGCACGTGCTTACGGAGATATGAGAATGCTTCTACACTTGGTGAGCCTGTTTTGTCCTTTGACCCAGGCCGGCCACAAGTTGTCAATAAATGGTATTTGATTCTTCAACCTTTAGAATGGTTCTGTTAGACTTTTTTGCTTGTGGGCGATGGAAAGCACATGAATGAGTTCCGCATTTCAGATAAACATAAATGAGTTTTAATATGCAGGAAGTGAATGTAACTGAATTTTTTTAACTTGCTTATATACAGTCCATGAAATGATTTCTATGCCCATCCAATGTTAGAGAACAAACAACAAAAGTAATTGAGAAAAAGGTTTGAACCTGTGCTTGGAGCAGAAACTTTCTTCTTCCAAATATGATTCTGCTTACTGCATTGAGCAAGAGAATTTAAACTACTAACGCTGGCTATATCCTCCTAAGTAGTTCTCAGATTCTTGTGTTTCCCTGAAAGGGTATAGACAATTAGTTATCTACAAATCATGAATAAGAATTCTTGCTTGCAATATGCTTCTGCTCAATTTCTGCATTACAATGATATTTGTACAGGACATCATCAGCCTTAATGGTCTACCGTGACACAATTGCTGCTGGTGTGACCCCTACAATTGATGTTTTATCCCAAGTTTTGGGATGCTTGCAGCTCCCTCATGATCCCTCATTGAAAAACCGGCTCATTGAGAATCTAGCTGTAAGTGTCGACACATCAAGACCCTCAAATCTTTCGTCACTGATAGATGGGTTTGGTGAATATGACCCCCGTGCTTTTTCATTACTAGAGGTGAGTATGGCTTAATTTTGCAGTGCTTTCTTGGGCTTCATGTTTTGTAATGGAAACTAACTCGAAACCATATGATATCATCTTGTGATAACAGGAAGCTGCCTCTTTTGGAATTATTTCGTGTGTGTCCTTTAAGCAAAGTCCTGTCATTGTTGATACAAGGGAATTGCAAATTCATACTGCTGAGGTGCGTTCTCTCTTGCTATGTTTGGTAGGAAGGAAAGAAAATAGGATAGAAAGGAAATATGGAAGTGATGGAAAATAGCAATGATAGAAAGGAAATTGATTTTCTTTTATGTTGTTTGGTATGAGAAAATGGAAAGAAAATGAGCTTACCTTCACTTGTTTGTTTGGTATTGGAAGTTAAATTGGGAGGAAAGAAAAAATCCTACTCGTAAATTACTTTTATACCCTTAAATTTTTTGCTTGGATGTTGATGGAGAAAATGGTAGTTTAGTAACTCTGCTCACTTTAATGAGTTGTCCCTATTTTCCATCCCATTTTCTACCCATTTGTGGAAAGAAAAAAAATGGTGGGGCCCACATGTATTATTTTCCACTTCATTTTCTCTTCCTTTCTCTTTTCTCTCATACCAAACAACCTACATTTTCATTTTTCCTCCCAAAATCCCTCCACCTTCTTCTTCCTTCTACTTTTCTTTCCTACCAAACATACTTAAGGTCAATGTCAACTTTCTACAAGAACAGTGAAAATTCGTATCTTATATGGAGAGATATTATGTTTATCACACACTTTGAGCATATGGTGTGTTTTTTTTTTTTTTAATAGTTGGGTAACATCCATGATACAGAAGCTCAAAATTTATATTAATGGAAGTCTTTTTGATACTTGCCAGGTGTACCTTTTAACTGTTTTGAAAGGTCTAAAAAATCGGCTTGCTGCTGGTACTATAATCTCTACCACTTTTTTTTTTTTTGGGTTAAATTTCATCCAGATCTGAGATTAGAAAAATTGTTTCCATTTTCCTTTTCTTTTAATCTAAGCTCAATACTAATAGCGTTTTGCTGTTCTCGCCTCTCTTCCATTTTTTGCAGGTGCAAAGTTACCAACAATTACCATTTTACTGCCTGTTGAGAAAGCCCAACTTACGTCTCCCAAGGAAGAGAAGACAATCAACCTTGCTGGAAGGTAAGAGGACTGGCCTGTGAGTCATTACAACATGCCTTTGACAAATTAAAAAAAAAAGCAATCAAAATGATGTTTCATTTCACTTGTGTATTTGATGTTTACCAAGATAAACAATACCATTTGTGATTGGTTGAATTTGGTACTGATAAGAAGTTACGAATGGCTCGTAGCTGGGTAAATGAACCTATAAAACACACGCGTATTCGTATGTGGAACCATCAGCTATGAAAACGGCAATATCCATGTTGGCAGTCTTGGGGAATCAATGAAATTATTATATAATCCGGGAGAAATGTTGTGAAAAAAAAAATAATAATAATAATAAAATCAAAGGTTTAGTAGATGCATGTCATCATGGACCAAAAATTAAATCAAGATTTTTCTCAACTGGTGGCACATTCGACATTCTATTCATTTCTTTATTGTGGCGTTCTCTAGTACACGTGTCTTCTCACTATTATTAATGTGAATATGACATATTATCTCATTAACAGGATTGGCCGGGCAGTAGCAGCATTATTAAGAAGGCTTGGATTACCTTACCAAGGGCATGAATCACATGGAAAAATCAGAATATATGGTTTAACCCTTAAAAGATGGTTCAAACCAAAGCTTGCCTCTCCTTTTAGTGGAAGACCAGAAGAAATAAACTTATCCCAGTTTCGACTCGGAAAAGAGATCGCTCATCAGCAGCGTAATATTAGAACTGGCAATCTGTCATTGGACTGAGGGAGAGGTGATTTTGCTTTGCAAACATCCTAAAACTTCAGCCAATTCTCTAATTAGTTTTATCAAATGCTCTTCCTTGCGCATTCCCGTCACAAGCCTAACTTTCTACCGCAATTCTTGGAGTTTCCTTTTAAAAGTCTCATAGTTAGACTTGTGGTAAAGTGAGCCAAGAAAAGATGAAGTTGATAGAAACGTTGGATCTCAAAGCCAATTCATGCATAGAGGAGAGATCCATGGAGCGGCATAAGCGTAGTTTCATTTTTCAAATGTTTCTTGTCTCCTGAAGCTACAGTGATTGTCCTTTTCAATAACATCATGCAGGTAAATAGTTATTAGGGTTATATCAAGATATTAATAATACTCTCTCACGCGTATTTTATTTGGAATTTAAGTAGAAAATGCAATAAGGAATTCTCTGTCTGTTAAAGAAATCCATGATTCGTGTATAACAATCCAATCCAGTTGAAAATGGGTGCTCTTTTCATAGGGTTGAGCGATAAAACTTGAATTAAAACTCAAATTTTATACTAAGGATTCGTTCACTTCGCGGATTTGAGTTTTTAATTTAAGTTGAGATGTGACATTTTTTAAAAATTTTTCACTGTAGCAGAAAAAGTTAGATGTGATATTTTTTGAGAATTTTTTACTGTAGAAACTTAAAACTGAAAACTTGAATCGGGGAAATGAACGAAACTTAAGAGTTGAATTATAATTCAAATTTATAAAAAGAACACGACTCTAAGATGTGACAAGATTTCAAAAAGAGATTTTTTGTACTAAATTGGTAAGAAAAGAGTTACATTACTGAATATTTACATATTCAGGATGTGATAAGATTTCAAAAAGAGATTTTCTTGTACTAAATTGGTAAGAAAAGAGTTTCATTACTGAATATTTACATATTTAGGATTTATATAGTTTGTTAATTTAAATTTTTAATTTAAATTATGATGTGATTTTATATAAAATTTTTTTACTATAATAAAATTTAAATTATAAACTGAATTACGAATTTTAATTAAAATAAGTCATTGATGAGCTGCCTAGAGGCCAGAACTAACAATAATAGAGATGCCCACTTTAGGAGTGAGATCCAATAAAACTCTTCCTTTAACGGACAACAGAGTACATATCCGTACGGAAACCTGACTACCCACACGTTCTTCTCACATCCACCGAAATTATGCACTTAAAGACCCGAGGCTGCTTTAAAGAAGGGTCAAATCATAATCAGAAAAGCAAACAAATCCATGTGACGATGTTGATGCAAAGAAACAAACGCAATATGAAGATGCTGCGAGCTCCGACCGTGAAAAGAAACAACGCAATGTTCAGCGCAGAGCAGAAGCTGTTGGATAGAAAACCAGTGCTATGTCCAATTATCTCCCCATTATTGATCTCTCTTTGACATTTAAAACATGAAAATAAATGAAAGGAGAATTTCTTTAAGAAACAAATCTAAACCATTGGAATTACGATAAATTAACGAAATCCAAATGCATCTTAGCAAAGAGAGATTTTACCATTTGACTATCTCTGTAATTTTTTTTTTCGTGATATGCAATGTATAAATCCTATTTGAGCATAAATATTATGCTAAATACTTTATGGTCTCTTTCAGTTTACGGATTCGAATTTTCAATTTAAATTGAGATGTAATTTTATATGAGAATTTTTTCTGTAATAAAAAAAATGTGATTTTTATGAGAGTTTTTAACAGTAATAAAATTAAAATTAAAAATTTAAATTAGTGAAATAAATGTGATCTATATTTATCCATATTTTTATAAGTTTACACTTTTTTTCTTATTTTTTCTTATGCTACTACATAATTCTTTTGAACGAAAGACTGAATATAACTGTCTATTATCTAAACCAGAAGGCATGAATTAAAGTCTTATTTATCTCACCGATTTAAATTTTTAATTTAATTGTTAAAATTTTTTAAAAAATATCACATTTAATTTTTTTTATTACAACATATCTAAACTCAAATTAAAAACTTAAATTTATACGGTAAACAGACTTAAATATTACATGGCTTCGTTAATTATCTACGGTTCTCTTACTGAAAGAATACACTTATCAATGGGATTGGTAGGTTTTTAAAAAAAAAAATTAGATGTTTAATTTATGTATTTAAAATCATAATTTAAGATTATTTTTATTTTATGTGTATTTTTTATAAAAAAAAATATTATAAAAAATTATAAATTATGATTTAAAATTAAAATGAATATAAAAAATAAACATTTCTTTAATTTTTGAGTGAAGTTAATAAGATAGGTCACCAAATACATCTTGTCATTGTCAGAACAATAAATGGGGTGTGTGGCGAGAGAGCTGACTGATAGAAAGTGTTTCAATTTGGGTGCTTTTTCCAAGCCTATGAGTTGGATCTGTAGCCCACATTTTGGTCTTGATTTAACGTATCGGTAAGCGTGAAACTCGTAGTTTACTTTTTCAATATTGTCTCTCTCGTCTCAAGTACACTCTACAAGAAATACAGCGTTGAGAAAGAAAACGTTGCCCTTTACTGAGAGTGAGACAACATCGGTGTCCAAAATCCTTCTTCAAAATTATGAGCTCTCTTTATAATTGATCATATTTTTATTTTTTATGTTTTAAAAAAAAATTAAAATATTTTTAAAACAGTATTTAACATAATAAAGATAAAAAATAAAAATAATTTTTTAATTTAGTATAAAATAAAAAAAATAATTTATTTTTATTTTTTCATCTCTCGAGTAGAAAGAAATACATTAATGAGTTTTTTTAATTAAAAATAATCTTTTAATAAAACTACTAAACGTATTTTTAAAAATAATTTTTATTTAAAATTAAAAATATTTTCATTTTTATTTTCATAAAAAAAAAAAAACACACGGTTTGTCAGTTTTACGAATGTAATTATAATCCTAACATGAAACTTTTTATCAATGGCACATACTTATCATATTCTGTTAAGTGGAACAAAATAAAAATAAAAACCGATACAGTTATTCTTAAGTCACGGTGATGTTGCGGTTTTGAAAAATAAAGCAATAACAGGCAGTAATCACTAGAGTCCAATGTAGCATATTAGGATTATCTTTCTAACTTTGCTTGTTGAATATTCCTAAAAGTAATGTATCAAAAAGAAACAAAGAAAGTTTGAATTCAAATTAAGGCTAAACATATAACATATATGTGGAAGTGTATTTTATCGATTCGAGTTTTTAATTTTAATTTTGTTATAATTAAAAACTCTAAAAAATAATCACATCTAATTTTTTTACTACAGTTAAAAACTCTCACATAAAATCACATATCAATTCAAATTGAAAACTCAAATTAGCAAACTGAATGAGACCTTAGTACCATTGCAACTAGCCAAAAAAAAAAACAACTTATATTATTATAGCGATTGTAGGTATAATTTATCAGTAAATTCATATTCATGCCTCGAACGTTGAAATTCAAAGTTCGAATTCTCCAGTCCAATTAAAGAAAAATAGTAGCATGGCACTGATACTGTGATAATTCAAATCTTTTGAATTAAAGGCTAATATACTTTGTTAGATCTGCTTTTATGTCAGGTGTCACAGATAGTGTTGGAACACTGTAGCAGATACTCTAGCAGAATAAAATGTAGAAAGTAAATGAACACACCATATGGTATTGCAGTTCGGTACGGACACCTACATTTACGGGGTCGCGTCTAAACAATAAACAGTTCACTATGTTATAAAGATTTACAGACACCGACGAACTTATTCACTCAAGACTTCCTCCTAGATAATGACATCATTATGACGAATCTTTACAGTGATTGTTTAGCGTGCACCGCACGTCTTTTATCTGCTCAGCAAACTCTCTTCGACTTATAGAGCGCTTCCTCCTGAAAGCTTCAAATCTCTCTCCCGAAAGTTGGTGAATACTTCAATATGCTCACACACTCACAAACAATCTTTTGAATATTTTTCTCTATTAAGTTCGTGCATTTTCTCTCTCAACAACATTTTGCACTTTATCCCTTTGATTCTCTCTCAACAACATCTTGCACTTTATCTCTTTGATGAAATTGCACAATATGTTTACATAATCTCCTTTCAAATTAACTCAATAAGAAAATGTCCAGAAAATCTTTAACGATTTTTCTCAAAATAAAATCTTCACAATTTTCTCTCAAAATAAAATTTTTATGATTTTCTCCCGAAATAAAATCTTACACTAAATTAGTGACATTTGGTTCATAAATTTAAAATCATAATTCATTATTCTAATTTTTAAATTTTAAATTTTTTATAAAAAAAAATACTATAACAAAATGAAGAACTATGATCTTAAATCAAATAGAACCCTTAAAACAAACAATCTCATTAATTATGTTTGATTCTGCAGCATAATTCTAAATCCACAATCTTATTCAACTCAAATTAAAAACTTAAATCGCTAAACTTAAGGGCTCCCTCGG